ACCTCGGTCTTGAACTGATCCAAGCACCTCGCCTTTTCCGTGGCGACGATCTCTGCAAATTCATAAGCGGCTCCTGATTTTTGACCGGCTTTCACGTCACCGGAGACAGCATCGCTAAAGGAGGCTACCGCGGTTTTATGCGCCGCCGTAAGCTGCCCTTGGTAAAGAGTCTTAAGGCGCTGATCAATCTTGCCTTCAAGCTCTGCGCGTTTTCGTACATAAACGGCTTTGTGGTATCTGCCAGCCTGGATTTCAAACGCCTTCATACATTTCTCCCTAATTTGTCTTCCGGTCTCACCGAGATCTGCCAGGACAAGCGGCTTGCCAATGCGAGAAGCTTCGGCTTGCTGTTCCTCAAGCGGCCCAATTGTGGTGTCAAAAAGAATTAGGACTTCTCGGGAAATCTCATCACAACGGAATTGAGCAAGCAGTTCCTGTTGCGTAGGCAGATCGAGGTCCTTGTTGTTGACAATCTGGTCCCAAACGCCTTCGGCGTATACAGAGAATCCATCGGCCGGAATCCTTCGATGATACTCAGGTAGAAAGACCCCGCCTTCAAGTTCTCGTTCGCCGTGTTTGGCGTTGCGGTTGCCAGTAACAAATCGTTTGCCCAGATTTTTCACCTCGTCCACGAATTTTTCAGGTTGTAGGATCTTATGTGGTAGCGCAGCGAAAGCGAAATCAAAGTAATCCTCGATGCGTGAATTCTCTAGTCCCTGTGGTTTCGATAATGATGACCAAATTTTTGTAAGATCCTGAATCAGGGTATTTCGAAGGTTAGCCAGCGGTGTGTTGCCAATGTGATCGCGAATCACGAAGAACAACAGGGACCTTGGGGTAGACCTGGAGAATATGTCAGCGCTCGGACCTGCATCCTATCATTGTCTCTCAGAACGCACTGTTTGTCTTTAAGGAATAACTGCAAATTGACCTCGAAAACGGTCTTTAATAAACCCATATTAGCACCTTGATATAAGCCGACCTGGTGTTCCCAAATATTGACAATCAAGACCTCGCTCGTGGCCAAGGCAAACAACGCGCTCTTTCTCTCAAAGTCTTGGTCCTCGCCACGTTCGCGTCCGTCGGTACCTTCAACATCCATGACGAGGATATTGTCCGTCATGCTCGTGGTCTTGTTCTTGGACATCCATATTCCCTTTGTAGTCTGACGGCGCTCCGTCTCGGACATGACATTAAATTCGGTTCCAAAGAGGTTATTGAGCAAAGTAGATTTTCCGGTCGACTGCGAGCCGAAGACGGATATAAGATGGTAGTTGAAGCCGGACTCGGCAACGTCGGTAGCTACCAAGTACGAACTCAAGTTGGAGCTGGAGGTTGTCGCATGCAAGGTCAGTCGGAGATCAGACGGAGAGGCTACGGAAGGACGGCGCACTTGAATTCCTTGTCCTCGTCAATGACTTGGACACCATGCCCGTATTGCGCCTTGTTGGGCGCATCGCCAACCGCAGCAAAGTGGCCGTTCATTTTCGATTTTCGAGGCCGTTGCGGCAGTGATTTGGTGAGGAGGGGTCGATGTTTAGCTTAAAGGATGGTGAGAGCACCTGTTGCCATCGCACAGACAGGATCGGAAGCGCGAGCTCAGGACACAGCAAGCTCCTGGCTGGGGACAAGCTTAAGGGAGGAGGGACGGGCTGTTGTGCTGTCTAATATTCACACTGAAGTGTCCAATCCGGAGGGATGCGGTACCTGCAACAACGACAAGCGAGGTAAGGACATTCCTTGTTTAGGTAGTGTGATGTGCGAGACTTGCACTGTACTAGCTTATTACTGTACCTATGACCTACATGTACTCACTTGCGCATGCATCAGCGCAATCGGTACATGTATAACAGGTATAAGAGGACCATATTATTAGGGCGAGCACCTACCCGTGCCACACCAGACGTGACAGACAGGTGCCAGTCATGCGTGGCGGGTGCAATCATCACATGCTGCTTGGGTATGTATGATGTCAGCTGGCCAACATTGAGCCCAATGCTTGCTACCCACGTACCTGCTACTGTGGCACTGGGATGTGGCTTCAGTGTCTGTGTATAGTGGGCCTGAGCCCACTTACCTTATCTATTTCTGCGAAATAGATCATCTCGATCACTTTAGAAACAGAATACAATCATCAATTCGCTAACCACTCATCTTTCCACACCTACGCAAATCCTTACACTACTATCTGCCTTTCGAGGTTCTAGGTTTTACCAAATGCCAAGAGCGCGGCAAATTGAATTCGCCGCTTTTGCTCAGGCTCGGCTCACCCTATTGTCAGTTACAGGTATGGTTGTGCCTAGAAAAACAGGTATTTTTCTTGACAGGGGAATTGCAGCCTAACCAGCTATAGTAAAGCTTTTCTGGTACGTGCACGCAAAACGTATCTCGCCCTTAGGTGCTTCGATGAAAAGCCCCCCTGCGATAGCCCTGTCGGATAGCCTTGTCTAGCAGTATATATAGATATCAAGGGACTATCAATCAACTTTAATAACAAAATCAAGGACATGTGGTGTAAATGGTAACACTTGGACTCTCATTATCTGGCACCCGAGCTGTCGGTTCGAACCTGGCCATGGCCTGCTTTTTTGTTTTCCAGATATCCTTAGGTTAATGTCTTTATGATCCTACTACTAGGTAGTACTATGGTTGGGAGTTGGTAAAAGTCACCCCCTTCAGATATTTTTTCGACAGGGAAATTACAACTAAACCTACTTTAGTAAAGCTCTGCAGGTACGTGCTAACAGACCACCATGCGCTTCTCACAATTCCCCTGCAAGCGGCATGCATGGAAGCCGGAGAAAGTCTGACGAAATCGGAACCGGATGGTTGTCGCGTACCGCCTTTTCTCGATAAATTGGCACCGGCTTTCTCTACAGCAAAAGCAGACTATACCATAATTAGAAGCACTGACGAGCTGCAAATTGACAACAGCTGTGAATGATCTGCGAGCACTCTGGGGTTAGCCAATCAAAACGGGCAGTAAGTAAGCTCCTCCTAGGTGTGGAGTACTTATTTTTGCACATTCGATGAAACCACAACGACTTGCGGTATGACCCACTGCCACACGGAAACAGCTGCCACCAGGCCCGTCAAGACCTGACGCGCCCTGGCAAGCCACCTAAAGGAACTAATCGGATTCATCCCTAGATTCGTGGGTATAAGTAAAAGGCGAAGAGCGCGTTCATGTTTGAAGGAAACTTAGATATTAGCTAAATTGAACTATTACCTATTCCAAGCCCTTGAGTGCAAGCCCTTGTTACACCCATCGATAGATCCGCGTAGCTATGAGAAGATGATGCGCGATGAGAGGTAGGTAGGAATGAGGGAGAGGGATATCAGATTTCTTCTTCGCATCGTTGAACCAGCCAACGAGTGCAATGAAAAAAAAGAGGCTTGATGTATAAATGTTTGCCTGTGAACCTGCCAGAGGCGAGTAGTGTACTATGACACCCCTGTCAAGGCTCGAGGCATAGTTCTTCTGTTCAAGGCCGGATCGAAAGATCTCAAGGCAGTTTGCTCAGGCCACTGGGGTGCTGGATGCTTGATAGTTGGCCATGAAGGTGTTGAGTTGAGAGACCCCGGAGATTAATTTACTGGGACCTTGAGATGAGGGAGTTCCGTGGCGGGAAGTTCCTGATCAAGGTTCTGACGGGAAGAACAGAGGGAAACGAGACCATTATAGATAGTAGAATCGGACCGCGCGGACACAGAAAGTCCCAGACGCAGCAGACTCGCTCCTACCTCTTCAGAATGCAGATCCGTTGTGGACCTATATGGGCAGTTCAAAGAAGTAAGGTGCACTCCACCTTGAGTTTTCATAGTCCTCAGCATACAACGCCAATTCAAAACATGCTATTTGAGGTAGAGTGTCAGATAAGCAGTCTAGATTTTTCTCGGGTGTACTTATCATATGTTGTTCAACGCGTTATTTACAAGTGGTAGCTCACGATATTCTTTAAGTACTTTAATGTTACGGGTGAGACTGCGGAAGGAAGCTCCGTCTTGCATGTTAAGGATAGTCGTGGCTGCTTCTTTTAAACATATCAACGTCATCCTTAAAACATATGACACGCCACTTCAAGTTTAAACACTTGATAGAAATAACCTACCTAATTATCAGTAAAAACACCAGTAGGTACAGACATAAGACCCTATAAGCCAGGCCCATGGCCTTCATAGTGTGGGTGGCCCGTGACTAGGTAAGCTATCTTACATGCCTCTACATTCCTTAGATTTTAAAGCCGGTAGATTTATGCAGGGAACCTTATCTCTATTTATACATGCAGTGAATGGTGTTCGCATTCACTGCGTACGGCCGCAAGGGGTATCTTGTAACCTATAAATTCTGTATATATCTGCCTGCACTCGCAGGTATCTCTGACTTTTTTTTTTTTTTCTTTCCTTATGTAATGTCAAAGGTATAATATAATGCCCAGGGTGAGTAAAAGACCTGCTTGCAGCCAGAAGGGTAGTTAGGGCTCAATAAAGTGATCAATTGATTCCTGAACCTCCTAAATCCAAGGGGGGCTCGGTTACTTATATACCCAGAATTTACTAGTTCTACACCACAAGGTAGCCGTGAACTAGTTCCCTGACATGTAGAATATTTTCTCAGTAATAAAGGTATATCGATACCTGAACCATTCGCCCTTGTTGCCTCCGTCACATTGTCATAAATACGTGTGACCATAAATCCGTACGGATCGCGAATAGCTAATACGAATAGCTAATATACACAAATACCACTAATCGCCACGAACGCCAACCATACGGCCATATGCTATAACTTTTAGTAATAGATATATATCTTTTAACTAATTACGCCTAGACTAATAGGAATTCATCCCACTTTATAGAGTTTTGGGGGGTCTGGTCTTAATTTCTCAAGCTTCACTTTCCCTCACACTTGATTGTCGTTGCTAATATGTGTTCGGGAAAGGTAAAGCTTTCCAACAATATAAAGTGGATAGCCCTTAGTTGAAATTCCGGACCATCAAGGGCATGTGGTGTAAGTGGTAACACCCGGGACTCTCATTATCCGGCACCCGGAGCTGCCGGTTCGACTCCGGCCATGCCTGACTTCTTCTCTTCTTACATTTCCTCTTCTCTTTTTGTCCCTAGCCTTCTAGACAGATTGTATTCAGACTGTGTTCACGAGTGATCAGACGCCTTTGATTCAAAGGCTAGGGGCGCAAGATAGATCGTTTATAAGTGTCCGTTCATTATGATACAACATGGTGACTGAAGTTTAATAAGCAAACTAGCTTTTAGTGCTAAGTTAAAGATAATGATAGTTAGACTAGAGAAAAATTCTACAGAATTTCATATATACATAATAATGCGCGTAACTGTTCTAGTCTCGGTTACCATGAAATCAACAGCCCTCGCAGCTAGTTATGATATAGGATTCATAGATTATAGGGTGGATCTGATATATATGTAGTATTCTCTGTACTAAATACGGGCCAGCACCGTACACCTAGAATAACCATCTTGATCCTTCTACCTCAGCTATAAACGAGACTCGTTTTCAGTTTCCCGGTTTCAAGGCCTGTGCGTGTGAGAGCAGCAGATTCCAAAAAAATTGCTGTGAACATTTATCATCCTATTTCATATCAGCCTGCACCGACGAACAGCATTTGCATAGCATGCGTTTCGATACGCGCAGTACTTAGATATTCATCACGTTTCTGTCATCTTAGTGCCTTTTTGGCATCGCCAGCAATAAACCGTTCAAGAACATCTCAGTTAATTGATTTAAATTGCAGTCAACACTTCGGCTGGCGTAAACTTGATGTAAGCCGGGCTAATACCGTGATTCTCTCCTTGAGTGTACAGCAGACTTACTATGCCGTGCATGGAGATCAGAAGTAAGAGAGATTGAATATCAAACAAGCTGGTTGCCCTTGTATAAGAGACGCCCGGCCATTTCGATCCATTTGAACAGCTTCTTATATGCATTCTCTTACGTCCTCATATATGAGCAAGCTTTAAACACTGACTCGAGAGGCCGATCAAGTGCCGCATCATCCAAGCACTTTGCTTCTAATGGAAGCTACAGGATAGGAAAGAAGAGTCCTTGCAAAACGGTTAATTTCGTTGGAGCTCTTGTCGGAAGATAGAGGGTCTAGCAACTTGGCTCTCTGCATGTAACCCTGCCATCCATGGGGAAGATGCCGGCTCTGGTCCAAACCCAGATTCATGATCCCGTTGGGACTCAGATGGGTATCGACGCAAGATTCCCGATCAGGTAGCAGCTGAATCACATAGTTTAGGAGACGGGCCTAGATTAAGGTTCCTGCAGATTGCATCATTCGTGGCAGGTAGCAATGAGGATGAAACAGTTCCGCGGCAAGCGACGCTATAGAGACTAATTTTAAGGGTCTTGGGAAGTGATGAAGAGAAAGACATCATGAGGCCTGGAACTAGCAGATGAATGGATAACTAGCAATATATGATGATGTCCATCGACTGGAGAGAAAAGGTTAATAATGAGTGATGATATTAATATCACATGTGCAAGGTTATACACGCGTAAATTGAAAGGTAATTCTCTAATGACATTGTCATATTAGGCACACATAATGTTGATTGTCTGGTACTGTTGGCCGGCACTTGACAAATTCTTTGAAGCAGGGCTTGGGGCAGAATACCTTTGATGAGCTGACCTACCTCGGTCTCGGCCTCGGTGTCAAGAGAATATCGAAGCATTTTGGCTTCGCCAATTAAGCCCGTTGAGTCAATCAGTCAGCACTGACTTCAGCAATTCAGAGCCCGCTAGCAGCATCAGTAGCGCTAGCCTGATTGAGTTGTCTACTAATTGCGGCGCTCATTACTGGGCGGGATGCTGATGTAAGGTGTTGGTAAGTCCCGGTAAATGCCCAAACCGGAGGGTACGTACTCTGCTAGCTGCAGCCAGAGAGACCGGCGAGACCCGCTAGAGGTGGAATGGCGGGGTCGTTGAGCTCTCCCCGGTTGATTTGTACAAGATCACAAATCGTCTGTCACAAGCTAGAAAAGGTTCAGTCCAGCCATTGTAGTATCAAAAATATCAAATCGACAGCCGCCTCACGAATTATCGCGAAAGTTCCAATTACTTACCCACCTTCGCCAATTTCTAACACCGCCCGGTCTGAAACATGCCCTACTACTGAATAACACTAGAATGGTGATGACGATGCACCTACATCCACTTCTGGGAATCTCACTTACTCGTATGCTGCATACCCTGCTATCTAGATCTGCCGTGTCCCTGCGTTACTATTATTATTAGTATATAAAAGACTCAAGTCGCATCCATCCATACCTTCCCGATGCGCTTCCTTTCGCTCTCCATCTCTATCCTTGTCGTTGTTGTGTCAATCCTTGTCTACAGAGACCAAGTCGTCGACTTAGCAGCAGCCAGTATCACTAGAATCACAAAGCAATTGAACGATATTTTGACAAGCACCACCGTTTTCAACTTTAGTGCTGGTGACGTCGAGTCTTCTACTACTACGGCCAAGTCTAACTCCCCGTTCTACAACCCGTCCAAACAGCTCGTCGCGACCAAGATGTCTGTCCCACGCGCGATCCGCAAAGTCTTTCTTGCTGTCGAGCAAGCCGAGGGCGCTGGTGCTCGCGTCCGTCGATCCATAGGGACACCACAATTGCGCAATTTCTCGCCTTTCTTGATGCTCGATCACTTCAGTATCAAGCCAGGTGCCGGCTTCCCAGACCATCCCCATCGCGGGCAAGAAACGTAAGCCCTCATCATTAACCACAGGCCCTAATAAGAGAGACATCCGCTGACACTTAATTCTCAGTATAACGTACCTGCTCACTGGCGCCGTTGACCATGAGGACTTCGCCGGAAACGCAGGCACCATCGAGGCTGGCGACCTACAATTCATGACTGCTGGACGGGGCATTATGCATGCCGAAATGCCCCGACAAAACCCCGACGGAAGTGCCAATGTAGGCTTGCAGCTATGGGTTGATTTGCCCGCTAATCTCAAGAAATGCGAACCGCGATACCGGGATCTGCGAGCCAAAGAGATCCCACAAGTTGACATCGACGATAAGGTGCACGTCAAGGTTATCTCAGGACAGTCAGGAGGTGTTGATAGCGTCAAAGACCTCGCTTACACACCTGTCTGGATTTTGGACGTCGACATCAAGCCCGGCGGAAAGCTCGCGCAGCCTTTGCCTGAGGGCTGGAATGCGTTTTCATATCAACTTGAGGGTTCGGCTGTCTTCGGGTCCGGCGACGCAAAGCGCACCGTCGAGCAGTACCACAACTGCGTGTTCGAGGCCGAGGGCGACGTTGTCAATGTTGAGGTGCCCGAAAATGCAACCTCGAACGCGCGGTTCGTGTTGATCGCCGGACAAATTCTTGACCAAAAGGTTGTACAGTATGGCCCATTCGTTTTGAACTCGCCAGAGGAGGTGCGCCAGGCCCTGTTCGACTATCAATTCCAGACGAACGGGTTTGAGCGCGCGAAAGATTGGGCGAGCGAGATCGGGAAGTCGATGGTCCATTAGCTCTCCCTACCATAACGTTGCTTCAAACTTTTCATGTATCCCTGTTGAAAACCCTTGTACATACTCATCATTAGCTCCTTTCCCTATGAGTCGTCCACTCCATTAAGCATAAGGTATTGCATAGCATGATTTTGGCGTTTTGGGAGACAAGGTCGATGAAGAAACGACCTCTTGTTACGAGATAGAATAATTGAGTTACGATGTTTCTTTTTTCGAAAATTGTCTTTTCGTAATGATCGTCATATCTTGAGCGGAGTTTTTCTTTCGTTAGTAATTCACAACTTCTTTACTTTGAGAGCTATTGGGGTTCGAAGCTCCCCTTGTGGTCTTTTTGAAGGAAATGGTTCGGGTAGAGCCATGGCCCATGCCAGTCGATATAGCTCATCGGGAGGTAACTCCCTATTGCTCCAGGCATCAACCTTCGAGGGTAGAAGGCCCGTAACTTGTTGTAGTCGTGGATTGCTCAATATGTCCACTGTTCTAAGACCTGGAAGAGCTTGCTTCTGGGTGTTCAGTTTCGACCCAGAATGGCGAGAGCGATCTTGTGACTCTGTCAACAATCTTTGTCTGAGGCGCTTGGTGTCCTCACATTGTGGGCGGCTAGTCTGTGCCAAAGGTTGGTCTCCTCGTCGCTGAGAACTTTGAGGGTCATGAACAAGAGATGCGCGGGCACTGCCGGTCTTAGCGCACGATGATAAGGATGCCATCGGTGAAGACGAGAAGTGTCGCGATTGTTGAGGTTCCTTCAACTTTGACATTCTGACCGCAGTAGATTGTCGCGGCGAGGTGAGATGTGAATGAGTTGGTGGCATGATGATTCTCACACGCTGCTAGTAAGGAGATATATACGCAATTCGCAGATACAATAGTATACCATAACCGGATGAAAGACTAGATAGGATTTCTGAATTGGCACCACGCAACGGTGAGACTCAGCCTGCTTTTTATATGATACATCGGTTCCCCCTCACTCACGGAAAGGTCTAACGTTTCACCCGCCTCGTATGTCATATTCCTCAGCGACGCCCTCGATTTGCCCCAACTGTCTGTCTGTTAGGAGGGCGGCTCCGCTCGATGGTCATCTCCGTTGGGTTGGTCAGCGTCTGCGTTGCGTTGCGTAGCGTACTAGACTGGCGCGAATAAGCAGGCAGGCAGGCAGGCTCTTGCAGCCTTATGGGTTACCTGCATCGCTAAGAGACAGGGAATAGGACGAGGTGAGGAGCCGCCTATTGGTCGGCATGGCTGACCAACCTAAGGCATGTGCACACGCCACCTGCTGTAGTCCAGCCTACGCTGCCGTAAATGGTTCGCTTCTGAGTCACTGCTCATGTTCCCCTGTTTTTCGCGCATCATCTTCCGTCTCCGAAGCTGCAAAGTCGGGAGTGGTTTGAAAGCTTACGATCCTTCGGTTCTACGAGTCGTACATTTAACCAATTGCCAAGAGTGTAATAAACCGGGCTTAGCGCAAATCGCCGCTTTTGCTCACCCTGTTATCACCTGTCAGATGACTGTGGAACTGCACTTGTGCATTTGTGCAAAGAGGAATGAAGCAGGC